GGGCGGGGCGCCCCGGGAGCAAACTTGAGACCGAGTCCTCCCGCGACCTTTAACCCCCCAAACCAACTTTCCTCCGGGCGCTGCCAGGGACCGGCGCGCAGTTTCGGGAACGCGGGGCCCTCGTGTCAGGCAGCCCATGAGGAAGGGTTCGGGGGGATCTCCCGCACCAGGAAGCTGCTGTGGGGCCCTGGCGTCTGGGCGCTGCCCGAGCGCCCTCAGCACACCTGGGGGGTTGCGCGCCCGAGGCCCGCCCTTCTCAGGAAGGAAGCATCACAACCCAGTTTCAAATTAACTTTATTAACGAGGCTCTGTCTGCACTTTAGCACCTAATAAAGCCCCTCGGAGGCACTTAGTGAAGGCAGCTGTTGTCTTGAGTTTGGAAAGGAGAGTGTTTGTGGCGGGGAGGAAGGGCAGGAGCAGTTCTCCCTGCCCTCTTCTGATGTGCCTTCCCGTCCACAGGGATACCCACCCACCACCCCAGGGTCTACAACATCCACAGTCGAAATGTCACCCGCTACCCTGCCAATTCCATCGTTGTCGTTGGCGGCTGCCCAGTCTGCAGGTATGTCACAGGTCGGGGGCTGGCCCCCAGAAGCCTCGGGACACACATAGCCAGAACCTCAGAAAGGCAGGCTGGTTGAGGTGGGTCGGTCTGGATTTGGGACAAGCTGTGGTGGGCAAGCATGGGCTCAGTTATCCTGGGTGGAACCTGTTTCGTAGGGCAACTGGGGTGGGTTCTGTTTCTTGGAGAGTTGAGCCCTAAGTGAATGGGATGCAGAAATATTAACAGTTGGACTGACAGTCTCACATCCCTGGTTCTCCTGAAGGTGGTGGAAGACTTCCTTTTCAGGGAAGGGGCTGTTTGAAGTGTGTGGACAGGGGGGCCCTGACTCAGATGGTCCATGTGTTCAGGAAGCTGGAGGTCCTAGAAGCCAGGAGAGCTACAGCTGTGAGCCGGTTAGTGGAAACCCATGGTTCTCCCAGCAGGAGCAATTTTTCGTATCCTTGAACTGGAGCCTCCACAAGTCTTCTAATGACTGTTTGTTTATGTGGCCCCAGATGCTTGTTCTGTGTGGGTCCTCAGGATTCAAATTCAGATCAAGACTTGGTCCCTGCCCTTGGTGGATTCAAGTGCTTGGACAGTTTAGAAAACACGGACTTGGCACGGACCATTTTTCCTGTCTGGGAGGAGGAAGTTCAAATTTCTGAGATGGGATTGAGAAACCCTGGTTTACACTTACACTTAATTTCAAAAGTGCATCTAGAAGGCCCAGAGTGGAGTCAAAGGGAAGTTAATGAGTTCAGAGTCACAGGGGGCAGCTAGGGCTCAGGAAGAGGGAGGGCATGACAGAGATGGGGGCAAAAGACTGGCCGACCAGAGCCAACCATGTGCCTAAAAAGGAGGCTGTGGGCAGGGGAGAGCCCCTGGAGCTGTGTGCCAGGATACCCCATTTGCAAACCCCGAAAGGATGCCTCTTCTGACACAGCTGGTGAAAGTTAGGCCTTTGGAAAATGTGAAGGGGGAAGGAGAAGAGGGCAGACAAGGGCCTCCTCCTGAGGGCCCCTCTCTCCGTGCGGCACTCTAGGGGGCGTCAGAGCTGTTGGGGTTTGTGGAGTGTCAGGCTGGCAAATTCAAGGAGGACCAGGAAGGCGCCTGCAGCAGAGGAATCTGGCTGGGATTTCAGTGTCTCCCTGCCATGTCTGCCACTTCCTAGGAGTGCCCAGCCTGCCAAAGGAGCTGGGTTCAGATCCTGGCCCTGGCAGCTACCCCCTGGGCCTATTTCCCCATCTGCAAAGTGGGGATATCTAATGGGATGGTCTGTGAGGCTCTTGTAGGCCCAAGTCCCTGAGTTCAGAGGAGTGGACACCAGCACCAAGGCCCCTGTGGCCAGTGGAGGCTGGGAGCCAAGGCTGAGATGTCTCCAGGGCTGTGAAGCTTCCGGCCACTGGCTGGGCTGCTGCCAGGTGGGGAGCATTTCCCAATACCCACCATTCCCTAGATTGGGAGCTTTGTCATTTCGGAGGCCTGTGGCTTCTGCCCCATGGTCCCCAGTCATTTGGAATCTGGACTAAGGTTGGGCTGTGTTCTCTGCTCTCTTGGGAGAGTCTTCCATGGGGCTGAGGGCAGGGGCGCCTGCATTTGGAGCCAGGCTTCTTCCTTGGGATCACTGTCTTCCCGCCTCTGGGTGGTGGGTGGCAGGCAGTGAGGAGGAATGGGTGCTCTGAGAACAAGTTTGGGGGATCGAGTTGGGACCAAACACTGACTCCCCCCAAGGCATGTCCTCCTGTGGGCCCTCCTGTCTGTGGGGTGAGAAGAACAGATGCCAGCAGTAAGGGTTCTTCCCTGAACTTGGGTTCCTCACATGAGAGTGTCCCTGCCCTTCCTGCTAGAGAGGGGGAGGCCCCTTAGTCCTCTGCCTTTGCAGTGGTGTGTGGTGTGGGCGTGGCTGGCCAGTGGACTGAGGCTGGGCAAGAGAGCTGGGCAGCACTAAGGAGGGAGAGGCCCGGGCACTTTGTGGGGAAGCGCCACTGTGGTTTGGGGGGTGGGTGTAGGGGCCCTGGGGCGGGTCCTCTCTGGGGAGAGGAGAGGTTTCCCCTGGGCGCAGTCCAGTGCAGCCACCGTGTGTCTGGAGTCATGGGGTTGGGAGACAGGCCACTTCTCAGTGACCGCACTGCTGCCTCCCTTTCTGTCCAGCCCGCCAAGCTCCGTCCCTGTCCCTCCCTGGCAGCTTGGCAGGAATTCGCTGAAGTCACACGGCTGCGATTCCCTCTGAGTGAGGTCTGGTGTAAGAGGTCTGTCACTTGTCATTTTGTCATCGTCCAGCCTTCCCTTAAGCAGCCTGACTCCACCCTCCCTTTTTAGCCGACTGCATGAGTATTTCTTTTGACTTCAGCACATACTCCTCATTTCACCCCTGCTGTGGCCTCTGAACTAGTCTTCCCGTGGGGATACAGCTGCCCCTCGATGCAGGACGAGGCGGCAGCATGTGGTCTGGGATCTGGGCCTGGCTGAGTTCACCTTGGCTGTGGTGGGGGAGCCTGTTGAGAAGGCCATGAGCAGCAGGGGTCAAAGCCTGGAATGGGACGCAAGCGGTAGGCACAAGCAGTCGGCGCAGGGCCTGGCTGGCACTGGGCCCCCCACCGACACTGGATAGGTATCATTGGGTATTTAGCTTTGAGGGTGCCCAGAGGGGTAGGAGGAAATCCAGGAACAAGTGGGGTCATGGAAGCCAAGACAGGCTCAAGGAATAGTGTCAGTCCAGGATGTGGCATGGGTGGTCAGCATGGGCACTACTGGTGACCCTGGGAGAGTTCTGGGAGGTAGAGGCAGGGCTTGAGTGTGTGACACGGCACGGGGTGACAAGGTGGAGTGTGGGCAGCTCGTGAGAGGAGGGGGCCTGTGACAGAACCTTGAGGAGGTGACTGTGCCTGGACATCCTCGGGTTGCGGGTTGGGGATGGTGGAAGACTCCCAGGCCCCTGTTCTGGCCTACACTTTGCTCAGAGGCCTGGTCATCAGGCTTGTGCACAACTGCCCTGGAGTGGCCGGTAGCTCTGTGCCCCTGAGAGGCAGATGTGCCTCCTACTGCTGAGCGTAGAGATGGGACCTGGTCTCTGAAGGGAGCTGACTGGGTGCTTTGGGGCATCTGCCCCCTACCCCCCAGGCTCCAGGCCTTGGATGACCTGGAGGAAGTCCTCCCTGAGGCTGTCCTGTGAGGGCTGGTTGGGGGTTGCTCCCAGGGCTGGATGCTCTCTTGAGCCACCCTGTGCTATGCAGTCAGTGAGGGGGGATGAGGAGGAAGGGCTGCCGGAGTCGGGGCACTAACTGCCCAGGGCACGGAAGTGGGGAGGCCCTGGATGGTGGAGCTGGTTTGGTGCCAGAGCTCCGAGTGGTCCGAGGCCCGAAGGCCACCTCTGCTGCCCTGGAAGTGGCTTGATTAGCACCAGTAGTTGTAGGAACTGTTGGCCATGACTGTGGACAGAGCAGGTATGTTCCCAGCCTGGGGCAGCCTATACATCCACCTACGTTAGGGAAACAGCTGGTGGCCCAGGGCCTTCCTGAAGCCCCCACTCCCTACTTTGGCAGCAGGGCCTCAGGTGCTCTTCAGCTGGATCTTACGCCACCTGTCCTGACGTCCTGACGTGCTCTGAGAGGGCCCTGAACAGCCCCGGGGAGGGCTGAGGACTGACCTTTGTAGCACTGAGAATGCAAGAAGTGGTGCCTGCCACACACATTTGGGCCTGCTGGTCGCTGTCCCTTAGACCTGGCCTTGCCTGTGCTCTAGTCCAGCTGGTCAGCACACACAGAAAGGGTGGCACCCATGAGTCTGGGAAACTGAGTGAAACGAAGATAAATGGGTCTCTTTCCTGTGGGAATTCAGATCCTTTTCTAACTAATGCACGTTGTGACTCCAGGTAGGGAAAATGGGCAGTTTGACCAAACACGCCACCACCACCCCCCCCTTCCTTTTCTGTAGAGCTTACGGGGGAACTAGTGTTTCAGGATGAGTGCATTTGGGAAATACTTCTAGAATGTAGTGTCCCTTGTAGATGTTTTAGGCCCTTCCCTCCTGAGTGGGTGGGAGGGAGGGAGGGGGACATTGAGTGTGACTTTTTCTTTAAGCTGTTGAAAACCAGACTTCCTCTTAGTCTGGTATATATTTTCATGACTCCTAATGGAGCAGGGAGCCTGCTCTGCTGGGCTGGTGGGGGCGGGGGTGCTGCTGCATGGTCCTCCTGCAGCTGTGATGGGTAGCAGCCGTCACATGGGCTCGTGACTTCCTGAGAAGGGGCTGCAGCAGTAGCAGCAACTCTGGCATTTTGAGGAGGAAGCCCTCTGTTTTGGCGCATTTCACTTTGACACTTCTTTACTCTTCTATTAAGCTGAACCTCCCTCCTCCTTCATGCAAAAGGTGGCAAAATAAGGAGCGGAATGTGTGGGCATAGGGATCCTCAGCAATAGTTGCTGACAATGGGGCTAGAAGTGGATGGACAGTGGCTTCAGAAAGACCAGGAAGCTGGGATGGACATGCAGCCGCATGGGAGAATGGGTGCAAAGGCATCAAAGCAGTGGGAGGAGGGTCAGGCCCTCTCCGCCTGCAGTTGCCCTCAGCTCACAGCAAGGTGGTCAGGGCTGCAGGCACCCCGGCCTCCAGGGAGCAGCTGGTCCCTGTTGGCTTTCTCTGGCTCCCAGGTCTGTCTGGTGGGAGTGAAACATTTCTCATTTGGGCTGAGCTGGCTATTGTAGTTCTCATTTTAATTTCAACTGTGTCCAGAACTTTCCAGAAGTAGCCTAAGGACTAAAGGTGGAGCTGAACACACAGCTCTTGCTTCCCACTTTGGGGGCCTTTGAAAAGGACCCTTTAATCTGGGTGGTGAGTCCAGGTCTCTGACCTGTACTCACTGGCACCTGATCTCGGTGATGTCCCCAGGTGTCTTAGGTATTATAGATTGTGCACTAAAAGGTAAATGTGACTTTTTCCCCCTCTAGCTTTGAGATGGAATTTCTCAAGTGACCTTTCAGACATTGTGTGAACATGGCTGATTTCAGTCTTTCACTAAAAATCTGCTGCCTGTCCTCCCCCCGAAAATAGAAAAATCAAACAAAATTCTGAACTCTATCCCTATTTGTGGCATTTCCCTCTAGGGCAGCGGTTCTCAACCTGTGGGTCGCGACCCCTTTGGGGGTCAAACGACCCTTTCACAGGGGTCACCTAAGACCATCAGAAAACACATATAATTACATATTTATTTTGTGATTAATCACTATTCTTTAATTATGTTCAATTTGTAACAATGAAATTGGGGGTCACCGCAACATGAGGAACTGTATTAAAGGGTCACGGCATTAGGAAGGTTGAGAACCACTGCTCTAGGGAATAGAAAACAAACTTTTCAATACTGGGAAAAAGTACTCAAATGATTGGGTTTTCTTGGTCTTGTGTTTTCAGAGATGTAAGAAATTTTATAGAAACTAGCATTTGTTTCTTGTTCTTCTGTAAAAGGAAATATGGCAGATTACATGGCAACTGAACGTTGCCTTTATAAGTAAGCGATGATAGCTTTCAAGTCATTTCCCTTCTTCACATGGTCTGGGTAGTGGCTGACAGCAGCAGTTTGCCTTCCCTCCGAACATGGCAGACATGTTGGCGGATCTCCAGGCCGATATGGCTGGTTGCTGAAGGCAGGTGAAGACTGCCTTTGCAGACCCTGTCACTGACATGCCAAAGGTCTGGTGGAACATCAGGCTGAGGGCCCTAACTCGAGCCCCCCTCCCCCCTTCTCTCTCTCTCCACAGAGTCGGGGTTCTGGAGGACTCCTTCACCTTCCTGGGCATCTTATTGGCCATCGTCTTTTTCCCCTTTGGGTTCATCTGCTGTTTTGCCTTGAGGAAGCGAAGATGTCCCAACTGTGGAGCAAACTTTACCTAAAGGGAACAGCACACCTGGCTTTCCTTCATCCAGCTGTCTTTTTCTAATGTATATGTCGTGTACAGTAGCTTTATTTGATTAAGCTTCAGGACTGTTTTGTAAGGGAGGTGGGATAGATTTGGCATGTGCGAGCTGGGTTCAGGGCACAGGTCACGGAGTGTGGACACGCGGCAACACTGCTCCCAGGGTTAACGACAATTCAGAAAAGCACTTTTATTTTTTGCAGTCTTCAATTTGAGAAGGTGAGAAATTGTTTTAAATAAATGAGATTCATACCATTGTTTACCTGGTTCTGCTTATTCAGTGTTTGCTTTTGTTTGGAAAACTTCAAACATGAAATAGAGACTAGAATTACGTAGCCACCACCCAGCTTCAACACTGTTCAATCCTGTTATTTTTCTTGATAGGCATTTACAGCTCAAGAAAATGTTCTTGTTTTCACGTTTTTATTTTATAATGAAACAGAATACCTTGACATTTCCAGAGCATGCCCCTCAGTGCCAAGGACAAGGCAAGCCCTCCCATCCTGTGTGAGGCAGGTGACACTGTCGTCCACTCTATGAAGGTGGATACGGGCCGGGTGAGTCCAGCAGGCCTGCAAATTGCACCTGGTAACCCCAGGCCTATGTATCGCTGAAACAAAGCCAGAGGACCCCAGAGTGGAGGGTGATGCCCCCACTCCTTCTCACATCTCTAAAAATAATGGGCTTCTGTGGACCCTACTCTTACCTAAGTGGCGAGAGGAGAGTGGGCCACTTCACTGACTGGTTTCTTGGCTGGCGCGTCTTCTTTCAGGACAGGTGCTGCTTGACACCTGCACTTCACCTGACTCAGTCCTGGGGAGCCCTCACGTTCCCGTGTCATTAGCTCCCCACTGGCTGACCGAGGAGGAGGAGGATAGGACTATGAACCTGAAGTGTCACGCACTCACACTGGTTTTACCTGCAGTTGACTTTGGCCAATTTCAAGCTTATAGAAAAACGATAATATTTATGGTAAGATCAAAGGAGCTGTATGAGCAACAAGCCCCCCTTCCCTGCCCACACAGTGAATGCCCTGGGTGTGACATTTAACCACGATTCTCCACTCCTCCAACATAGGGCCTAATCCCTGACAGCCAGCGACGAACTCCCTCCCGGAGCAGCCCAGATTCCTAGTGCATGACAGTGGGTCTCAGCTAGAGGGCAGCTCCTCCCAGCCCCCACTCCCAGAGGTCCTCCTGGCTCTGTGAGCACTGTTTGTGCATCAGTACCTGATGGGAAAGTGTCAGAGGAAATTAGTGACAGAAGCGCTTTGGTCAACTAGCTTATTAGCAAGAGTCCCCTGGTTGGTGCATATGGTCCCCTCTGGCCAGGCCCACATGCAGCCTGGCCTGGTGGGTTTTCATTGGTGCCTCAGAGCCCAAATCCAGAAGTTCTGGAGCATTCAAGTACTAAGTACCATGGCTGTGATGGGGACAGGCAAAACACCTCAGCACTCTACAGCTGGGCCTAATCACGGGAAGGTTGGGGTTTCTCCATCTTGGGTAGCTCTGCATTTGACTAAACAAAAATTTAAAAATTTTAAGTTAAAAGTTAAAATTTATATAATATTTTCATAATTTATATTGCTTAAGATTCTCCTTTGAGTAAACATTACAATGCTACGTAAGAGCAGGTACTTTATAAAATACAAATGTGGTCTCAGCTGCATGCAGGTACAGAAAGCCAGTCCTGAAAGCACAGACTATCCCTTATTCTGGCTATTTCAAAAATAATCATAGAATATTTAAAAAATGATACAGTAAGGATTAGAACCAAATTTACTGCTCTTTGAACAAAATAGGAAGAAAATACTTTCAGTGATTGAGTTGGTCACTCAACTAATTTATCTTCTTTAAGACAGAAATGTGCAAACCCAACTGTGAAATTGAGAAAATGCATTGATTTGCTAAAGTAGAATACGTTTAAAATCAGGCACCCTCTGGTGAAGCATCATGACAGTACAGGACGCACCACACCTATGACTTCACATGTGAGAACATAAGAAGATCCAGGAGAAGTCTTTGGCCATCTTTTCATCGAATGATTGGTGCTGACCGATCGTTTGTCACTGTTGGTCGGAGTTTCACAGTAGCGAAGGGGTTTTCTCCACTGTGGGGGAAGGAAAAAACGTGCAGAAATACCTCAAGATGGGAATTTTATTTTTTTGGTTAATGCTCACCTGATGATCCCCCCCCAGTTGATTTTTAGAGAGAGTGGGAGAGAAATATCGATATGAGAGAGAGACATTGATTAGTTGCCTCTGCACACACCCCCAAACAGGCCAGGATTGAGCCTGCAACCCAGGTATGTGCCCTTAACCAGAAATTGAACCCGAGACCCTTCAGTGCAGCGGCCGATGCTGTAAGCACTCGGCAACACCGGGCAGGGAACATGGTTTTAAATGAACTAAATACAAATGGTTGCTCTGCTCCGTAAAGTTATATGCCGGATGGAAATCCCGGGCAGCATTTTTCTGATATGAAAAGTTTACTGTGGCAGCTCCCCAGTCCACCTCTTCCAGAACTACCTGGAGTTACAGGAGAGCCCAGCGCTCTGCAGTCCTCTGGAAGGGGGTCGGGTGGGACAGCCACCTAAGACTAGGCCTGGATTACTGTGTTGCCAAGCACAGCAGGTCATCAGGAGACCACCCTTCTGAATCTGGGCAGATGCCTCCCAGGACTGTGATGAGAGCAAGGTGGCTGCATTCTCTTGACCCCACAGGCCTGAGGCTGTTTTCAGGATCGGGCCTCCTGGGCTGTGCACAGGGCAAGGCCCTCTCGGGGACACTACAGGCCACTCGCCAACAGGGAAGGCAGCGTGCCGCTCAGAAGGGCTTTTGGAGGAGTTCACGTACCTGAGGAAAGGAAGCTTGGCAGTCCCGTTTGTGTTATTCTGTGGGAAGATAGAGAAGTTTATGGAAGGCTCATGAAATGAGACATTTTAAACAAGACCTGAAGGTAAAGGCATCTAAAACACAAGTGACTGTTGAAAGCTACGAATATTTAAAGGTGCCCTGGAGTCTCAATTCATTTGGGACTGTCTAGCTATGTAAATTCACTTCAAAGAATAACAGGAAGAACAGAACATTTTAAAAGATAGTGAGGGACCTGCACTGTGTTGGGCCATCTCACACTCAGGGAGAATAGGCCTGTGGCTCCTTGCCCACAGCCTGTTTCAGGTGCAAAACTTGTGAGTGCAGGTGGCTTTTGGGGAGCCCAGTCCTGAATGAAGCCACGGGAAAACTGCGTGAAAATGAAATGGGTTTTGGTGCCCACAGACTGGTGCCCAGTGCTCCCCAGAGATCTTGCAGGAAGTTGCACAAAGGGAAGAGAAGAGAAGGACGTGTAAACACTGTTTTTGTCTTCAGGAACCACCAGAGCCTGCAGGTCCCAGGGACTTGGGGGTCTCCCAGTGGGGCCAGGGGCCTCCTTTCCTTCCTTCCCTAAAGCTTACAGGCTAAGAATCCGCTTTGAACCTGCTCCGCCTGTTCTAGGAAAGCACTGCTCTGAGCGCCTGTTACTCAGACGCCGCCCAGGAGAGGGCAGTGTGCCACTGTCTGACGGGCTGGCAGACCAGACCTGACTGAAAGCTCCCAGGCTCCCCGTGGTCAGGGCACAGGCCTCTGAACACTGACTACAGCTCCTCGCACGTCACGTCCCGCTGCCCGCCAGCTGGGGTTTGAAGGTCGTGCCTTGCCCAAGCCCACACCAGGGCTCCTTGGGAGGCCTCTACTGGGTTTTGGACCTACTGACTCTCAAGGCAGAGGGTGAGGGACACGGGTTCAGACCTGTGCCTGCTGTCTCTGGGCCTCTGAGGACCCACATCTTGACCTTGAACCTCGGGACCAGCCAGCTCATCCTGATGGCGGCCCCAGCACCAGGAGGCAGAGTCCTGGCTCTCTTCTCACTGAAGCACATCCTAGCAGGGCTTACATGGGCTCTTCCCACAGGGCACGCAGGCCCCAGAGCAAGCACTCCTGGTGCCGCGCTCACATTCTGTGATTTAGAGATAAAAATACACCAGGACGCGTGTCGCGTGAGTGCTCCAACGCTGCCAAACAGGAAGCCCAGAACGGAGGTACAGGGTCCCACGTGAAAAGGTCCCTGGGGTCAGGAGGAAGGGCAGCCGAGTCCTCTTGGCCTGGGAAGTGCACTTCCTGCTTAACCAGAATCCCCAGGCTCGGCCTCCAGGTGACACACGAAACCACAGCCTCCTGCCTTTCCTCAGGGTGGGACAGTGTCGCTCTCCCTTGGGTATCATGTCTGAGGAGGGTTCTGCCCTGAACCGGAAACACCCCACCTGGGAGCAGCCCAAGGGTCCTCAAGGCAAACCCTCAGGGCTTGTTCAGAGGGCCTCCGCCCCGGGAGCTTCCGACGAGTTCAGCGCCTTGTGTCACCTGGTGCCACAACATCGGAGAGAAACAAAAGTGGAAGAAAAGTAGCACAGTCCATCCTGGGAAGAAAGGTGACAACTTGTGCTAAGGAGGAGGGCACGATGACCTAAGACAACAGCTGGAAACCATTGAGCGCCGGGTCATGGTCTGGTTCTGGTGCTGCCTACACCTGCTGCTTTGTGAAGTCACTGTGCACTTTTCTTCATATGGTATTCCTCAATGTCTGCCATAAAGGTTTCCCCTTTAACATCTACCAAGTCTACACTGTCCCAGACCTGCCCCTCCCCCCTTCCCCCCTGCAGTGGAAAGGCACCTCCAGGCCGGCCATGGCACTGCCCTCACTCCTCCAGTGAGGAGAGCTCGCGCTAGATCCCGAGGGTCTGCAGAACCTCCCCACCTCACCTGAGCACAACCCATCCCTCTTACTGGTTGACGCTGGAGCCCCAGAGGGATGTCTGTCCTGCCTGCTGCCCCAAAGCGCCCATCTGAGTGTGTCCCTCCACTGGCTCGCTGAGGCCGAGCAGTGGGGTTTGGGGTCTCCTGGCCTCTGCACCCCCCGCCCCGCCCCCGTGTCACCAGGCAAATGCGCCTTGTCCTGAGCAACACCGAGGTCTCTGCAGGCCTCTCCTGGTGCCCCTGCCCTGGACCTGAGCGGTCCTGCATGGCGCCTGCAAGCCTAGGTGCTGCCTCCTTGTCCCTGTCCCCTCAGGACATGCACAGTGCGTGAGCTCAGACCAGCTCTGTGGACCTAAACCGTTCGAGGTCCCACAGTCAATGGGCAGAACTGCTCCTGTGCAGGGCGTGTCCTCTGAGGGGGTGGTGTGCGTCCTGTCTCATGCTTCCCCTCGGACTTCCAAAGCAAGGCTC